CAATGTTCATATATATATATACAATCCACAAGAAAAGTTCTACAAAACATCAAATACATAGAATATATTGTCACTGCGAATCAGGGATGGATTAACGGGTGGTCAAAGATAATCAACCCTGAAAACATTAAATTATCATATAATATAATTATTTATTTTATATTTTTTAGTAATAATATATTTTCATATCTAAAATTTTATGAATTCGCTCATTCGAAATGTTTTAATATTATCCTCTGTCTCTGCTATGAATAATATTTGGCCCACAAATCTACATTTACTGGCCTCGGTCACTTCTTAATATATTAATGTGTGGAGGATTTCTACCCGCACATGTACGTTATCCGGACTTAGTTGAGAGCATGCGAATTCAATAGTGAGCGTCTAACATAATTTATATATAAAGGGCAAATTATTATCGATCACTAAATTATAAGATTAATTCTATTCGGATTATTGAATAATTGCTTTTATCAGTTAGGTCATTAAACTTTGATTTTAGTTTCATTCAAGTCGCTTGTTGTTAAATCAGCAAGGGTGAGCTCACATTACAATTTTAAAATTTGTATAATAACCCATTTAATACTTCATGTTTACATATTTAATAATTTAGTCCCAATTAAAAAACAATCTAATAAATTTAACCCTCAATATTTACAAATTGTTTCAATCAACCACAAGTGAAGTTAAATGAGGACTAAATTGAATTGATTTATAAATATCGAGAGTTGAATTTATTAATTATTTTTTAATTAGGACTACATTGGTTGAACGTGTAAATATGAGAGATCAAATATATTATTATATAAATTTTAAAACTATCACGTATACTCATCGTTATTAATTTAACATGTGGCTGGATTGAAATTGAAATTACAATTTAGTGATTTAATTGACAAAACATTTTATTCAGTGGTCAGAATAAAATCAATCTCATAATTTAATGTCCAACATGTTAGTTTACTCATATATAAGGATTAATCCACTAAATGTCTCCAAACTATCATCCAGATTCAAAATTAATCCCTAAACATCAAAATATTATAAATGAGTGCTTAAAGTATGAGTATTATATCAACCCTGTCCTTTTTGTCATTGTTCATCAATGCTCAAATTAGTTAAATATGTCCTAGAGTATATTTAAAATTAACAAATTAAATTGAAAAATGTAATTTTACATAGACAATTTCTTTGATGGAATATTAAATTGTCCATACATAGATAAAAATATATTTATAATTTGATCCGTATGTTTTATATATATTCCAAGTTAGATTTAAGCTGACATTTAGTATTTAAATTGACGATTAAAATGATAAAAAGATTGAGTTCGAATAGCTGTATAAGGTGTATTTGCGTTATCATAAGCGTTATCAATATGATAAGAAATTTTATGAAGGAGAATCACTTACAATTGAGTTCATCGAGCCACCGAGCAACATTATCGAACGTAGCTCTCCGGCTAATATCATAAACCAACAAAGCACCGAAAGCTCCCCTGTAATAAGCCGAAGTCAGCACGGAACTGTTCTTGTCCCGCAGTGTCCCAAATCTGAGCCTTAACTTCTTTTCCATCGATTTCCACGCTTCTGAGTCTGAAACTCGACTCCAATGGTTGCTTTCGAGTGAGCGTTGAACTCATTCCGCGCGTAATGAGAAAGGAGGTTGGATTTTCCTACGGCCGAGTCTCCTATTATGACTATTTTGAACAAGTACTCTTCCTCTGCTTCATCGTCTGACATTTTGTTTTGATTTCTGGACTTGGGTTTTTCTTTTTCCTGGCTCTAAGATTGTTTGGGTGGTGAGAAAATGTGTGAAAGAGAAGGCCTTTTGATGTGGAAGAAAACAGGGGAAGAAAGAGAGGAGAAAGTTGCAGAGACCAACGGTGGATCTTGTTCTTAATGGATTTAATTACTACACTCACGCGCTTGTTATGAATAGGGTAGATTGAAAGTTTCATCTCTAACTTTCTTTTTCAATCTTATTTTGGTTATTAAAATTTAATATTTTTTAATTTATTCCCGCTCCTATTTAGTTACTTTGTCTTTACATACTTGATAACATTATGAATGGATGCATTTCTTAAAAATCATGAAATGTCCCTAAACTTTATTAATTATTTTGTGAAAATACTTATGATTTCATATTCCTTTTGATTTCTCGACGATGAAGTATCTTTCTTCAAATCTCAAAAGATGAGTGGTGGAAAATGAATAAATGAGTTGTATATTTTGATTCTATGATGATCAAATGATGGATAATTTAAATTGGAGTAATTTAGGGTATTATGCGTTTAGATTTGAGGATGAATTTCATGAGTTTTAAAGTGATTTTGGAAAAAAAATATAAACTGATTGAGTGGTAGGAAGTTATAAAAAGAGTTTGTTTGTATCTTTAGTGATCTAAGATGTTAAAAAATAATAATTGCAACACATGAATGAAATTATAACTTTCATCTCTAGAGGATAAATTGATACACTTCCGATGTAATTTTTGTATTAACCTATTTAATAGTAAAGAGACTAACGCTCCCTATAATAAAGGGGCCTTACAAGACTTCTACCACATCAATGGGCACCGCGCGTAGGAGGTATGGCGCGTGGGGAAAAAGAAAATTCCCTCGGGAGAAATAGTAACGGATATGAAGTAAGCGGGAGTTGGGAACTATAAAAACAAATCAAAGCATTCAGTTCATAATTGAATTAGAGAGCAAACCCCCACATGCCTTTGGTCATTACCATCCCAACCAAGCATTGTGACCTAATTTATGAACGTTGTTTACACATTCATATGCATTGAAAACGTTGGGTTTAAAGTTGTTATACAACATGTTATGGTTTGCAGATATGATTTAAAGTGCATCAAAGAGGATTATGTAGTTTGATGAATTAGTTATCGATGGTAGATCTTTTTATTACGTTTTAAAAGGGTTTAATTAAAACTTAGAAAATTTTGAAGGAATGTTCACTACATTAAACCATTAGAGTTTAAAGTGCTAAAGTTAAATGGCTACAAGAGAGAGATCAAAGAGCATTTTTTAATTAATGGTTGCTGTTAAACAGAAGAAATACACCATTAGAGTTCTTCAAGATGAATAGAGGAACGAGCTTCAAACTTTTGAGCAGATGGTCACTGAAATTACCAATTTTTTGACAAATCTTATTGGCACTACAGAGTACAGACTTTAATGTTCAAAGTTTTAATGTGAAGCTTCTGCAAAATCTCCTTCAGTATTCTTTGCCTGAATGGTAACGCATCTCTTTTCTTCGAGGCTGCTTGACTTATTGTTGGAGTTGATTTCACTTCTGTTGTGAAATTCTAATGCTTCTTTTCTGCTGGTTGATTTCGATGCAATTGCTCTTGTTCTTGTTCAAAAGATTTCCACATCATTGCATGGCAGAAGACTTCAGGCCTATTGCCTGTTGTTCTATAATGTATAAGACTATCACAAGAATCCTAGTGGATAGATTTGCTCCTTTCTTTCATGGTATGATTTTATTAAACCATACAACGTTTGTAAAAGGTACAAGTATAGTTAATAACACCGTTTTAACACAAGAATTAATGAAGAGATAAGTAAGGAAGTCTCTTTCTCCTAAAAGTGTTCTTAAAGTAGGTATTTTGAAAGCATTTGATACTTTAAACTTTGATTTCGTGCTTAAGGGGTTTTCTAGTTCCATCCTAAGTGTAAGAAGATAATGTTGGATCCTCTGTATTTTGTAATACTGCCGAAAGTGAGTTTTTTGTTTCTGGGATCTCAACTGATGATTTGGATCTTATCCAAAGCATTTCTGGTTTTAGTTTGGGTCATCTTCCTGTTAGATACTTGAGAGTCCCTCTTGCAACAAGAAAATTGACTGTTACAAATAAGGATTGCTGTTGACAACCAATTTCTTGAGTCTTAACTGTTGGTGCTGCCCCTGAAACTCGCAATCACTTTGTTTTCATTTTACCTTACAATCGAAACGTACCAAGTATTTAGTGTAATCTGATATGAGACCACCAGACTGATCTGAATCTCAATCTAGGACTTGAAACTTCAAGAACACTAAAGCATGGAGCTTAATCAATAAGGGTCAATGCTAGGAGTGAACGGATGTGTGGGTATGGAAATGACACAGCTCTAAAAACTGACCACAGATACCTTCTAATTGAAAGCAACTATACAAATTATCATCCAATATACTTCTTCAACAATGCCTGTATTCAGTGCAACAGTTGGCTCAGTTTCTTTCTCATCTCTTCAACCCTGACGTTTCTCTTTCTATTGCTTCCTAAACCACACAAAGCTCCCCAATTTATACTCTAAACCTTCTCTTATCAAAAGGTCCCCTTCTACTACTTCATCATCATCATCATTGTATAGTCTCAGAGTCTCTGCTTCAGCAACGAGTTCCATGATTCTATTTTTCGTTGCAACACTGGTTTTTACTTCTGTTTACTTATCGAGCTTTTATAATTTCTTTCTACTTGTGATCCTGTTTTCAACTTCTCTTCTTGGATGTCAACCTTACAGGCACCCCCTTTCTCTTCTCGGATGTCTTCAACAGATTCGTCTCTGTAGGTTGTTGTAGTTTCGGTCGCAGTCCTACTGATGATTATCCTGTTAGTTGGTGTCTGCAACCCAATTGTACGAGTATGAAGAATTCTGCTCTAAGAATGTTACCCCTGGTCTTAGTTCCTTTGCAGCAAACGTGATGCGTATTTCTCCTAGTAATGGCAACAGTTTGCTTTTATTGTTGACAAACGTTTTGTCGGTTCACTACACACAATAATTCCATACAGCACAGACCAGAATTTTTCTTGACAAAAATTCAGGGGTGTAATTAAAATTTTCAAGGTTTTTTAAGGACTTAATGTAATTAAAAATTTGGTGCCCATGACAATCTGTCTCGGTGTATTTTTTCTTATGGCAAAGCACACAGCAGTAGTTGATTCTATTTACTATTATTAAGATGATTATGAATATTGACATCAGTTTCCTTTGTTGCAACAAAGAGTCAGTTGAAACAATAACAACCAAATATAAAGCAGATGGCAATCATGTCTTGATACAATTCATGTAGGACCTAAACAAACTACAAGTCCTCAAACATTAATAAACATAATGAAAAATCAGATATGAAACACAGAGGCCATGAGCCAGCCAATATTGCCAAATCTGATACACATACCTGTGAAGTTGTCACCTCTCTGTTTCATAAACTTGAGCGGAATATCATTGAAGTTCCCAACAGCATCCCCAGTGGACGGAAAAGTTGCAGGGAGGTTCTTTACATTGGAGGCCCTGTCCATTGCAAAGCTCACCACACACCTTACATGGAGGGCAATTCCAGATGTTTTTCACAACGGTCAACGAATGTCGATGATAATAAGATCTAAGATTGTTTCCTAGCTTCATATATGGGAGATCGCCAAGGGCACAACTGGAATGAAGAGAATTATCACAATCAACACAATAGTAAAACCAGTCATTTGGCCATCTTTCATTCTCACACAGATCACAGTAAAGTTGAGAAGGATCAGAATCATCAAAACAAGTCAGATTAAGAGCATGTTTTTCATACTTGTACCAAGCAGTGAGCGGTAGTGTCGCACAACCAATATCTAAAGTGAAAGCACAACGCTTCATGCATCTATATGCAATGGAGTCTAATTCAGTGCCACAACCACTGCAACCCCCTTTAAAGTTATGGACAAGAAAAAGTGAATGCTCATGACTTGGGTGCTTCAAGGTGTCCGATAATAACATGCATCGAATGTCGAAGTTAATTTCATATTTGCAAAAACTTTTGTTACATCGGTAGCCAAATCCCTGGTATTTAAGCCCACAGGCACTGCAATACGAATATTCATCCCCTGCATGTGAGTTTGTAAGCGTAAGTAAGTGCTTGTGGAATGGATGTCGCATTGTTCTAGGCAATTCCGCACAATCTTTATGGAGGAAAAACTTGCATTGGTCACAACTGTAAAAAGGAGTAGAGATAGGCCTCATGCATCCGTCACATTGGCTGTCATTGTTGATCTCTCCTCTAAAAGTGAGTGTTAAATTGTGAACATGGTAAGCATGTTTAATCTCACTTGCTACCATTTGTTCTCCAATAATTATTTGTTCAACAACATCAGTAATTAAGTTGGAAGATTCAAGCAGTGCTTCCATGGAGCTCTCATCATAATCTTCAGGGAAAATTGTTCCATCCCAAATTACAGGATCGGTTGCACAATGTACATGTGCAATATAATCACAATCACAAGTTGAACAATAATAATTGCCATACCTCATGTCAACCTCCTCGTAACAAATTCTGCACGTCCAGTCTTTAACTTGATTTTGTTGAAGATAATATGAATGAGAAAGCAGATGATGATGTCGAGTTAGCATGATCTTACGTGGCAACGTGATGCACTTCTTGTGGACAAGAAGATCACATATGGTACAAAGATAAGGGGAGTGATCTCCGGCAGTACCACAAAAGTCACAAATAAATGACATTTTTCTTAACATAAGCATCCACGGGTGTTCATGACTAGCATGGGTGATTGTTCGTGGTGAAAATGAATCATCAATTGAAAGATCAAAGTTGCAAAGAGAGCAAGAATAAACAAATCCTCTCCATTGAGTTCTGCATAGATAGCAACTACATTTCTCAGGATGAGTGGGAAGTTTTGGCAAGAGAGTAAGAGGATGGTTACGATCGTATGAGTGATTCATCTCAAGGGGTAGTTCACCACATTCCTTATGAAGGTTAAAGTGCGACGGATAGGAACAATCGGGGCAGTGGTAAATTGGACCAGATAATGATTTCATGCATCCGGAACAATCATACTTGACTTGATCATTATGGTTTTCAATGAAGAGCAATGGATGAGGGTGCAAAGAAATAGGAAAATTTGCAGACATGGATGATTGAAGCAAAGCACAGTTGATGTCCAGATCGAATTGACAAGTAGCACAATGATAAACAAATCCACTAAACATCCCACCACACAAACTACACACGTATTCACCACAACTATAAGGAGATTTTGGCAAAAAAGTGAGAGTGTGTTGTGGGTGGAAAGGATGGTTGAGCCGGGGTTGTAAGTCCAACTCGGCGCATCCCTTATGAAGATAAAACTTACATTCACTGCAGCCGTAGATCCAGCCCTCCAGAGGTATCCCACACCCAAAGCCACAACCTGCTCTTTCATCTTCGTCTTCACTTGCAACAATCTGATGATGCATTAAGACTAGAGGATGTTCATGGCCAATATGTTGAAGTTCCATCTGTCCCTCTTTCCTGCTCTCAGACTCCATGGGAGCCATTAGATGAAGAAGAAGAAGAAGAAGAATTAAAACTGCTTCAGTTCGGCAGAGTACCTCTGGTGAAAGTGATAGAAAAATGAGATATGGTATATGGAAAGATGGGAGTGTTAGGGCAAACACTTGAGAAATTAATACCTCTAACCAATCTAACAAGTCAGCCCAACAACTAATTGCTAACAAATCAGCCCAAAAAAGATACATGTCTAATTAAATTATACATTAAACCAAAGTTTATTTATTATATTACACACATCATTTGTGTATTTTGCTCTTTAACGATTATGTAGTACATGTTTTCTAATACAATTAAAACCAATACAATGAAGTTAATCGGATATATAATTGAAATAAAATAAGATTAAAATCACTAGTAATTATATGTTTATTCTTAGAGGTGGAATAATATCTTGGAAATCAACCAAACAAGCTGTTATATAACAAAATCTACTATGAAGTCTGAATTTTTTTTACTTAACTCTTAATGAAGTTGAAAAACTTGTTAGCGTGTATTTTATTGGGCAGAAAATCAATATATTTATAACTTACGCATAATATAAGAACTAATGATAAAGTTTAAGCGTTATTAATTAGGTGGTTAATCGGTGCTTTTGTTCTTGCTATGAAGCCGAGAGAAGTAAGAGGAGGTGAAAACCCAGGTTACCCACCTCCACTGGTTAAATGCCCAACTCTACCATTACCTTACAGGGATAGCTGTATTGAAAGATGTGGGAACTTCGATATCACCTTTCCATTTGGAATTAAAGATGGCTGCTACATCAATAATGCGTTCAGAATAACTTGCAATTAGACCATTAAAGGGCTAAGGCCTTTCATAAGTAGCATCAATCTGCAGTTACTGGAGATTTCATTTTCCCAACGCACGGCTGTCATTGATCCGATAACTTATTCCGATTGCCTCGATGAAGATCGAGAAACTAATGTGGTTAGTCTCAACCTAACAAGCATCCCCGTTCTCTTCTCAGACATCTTCTACAGATTCGTGTCTTTTGGTTGCGGATGTCCTACTTTTCTTAGTAATTCAACTGGCGATAGACCTGATGGTTATTGTCTGCAATGTAGCTTCCGAATTGAGTTGCTCTTCTGGTCTTAGCTCCTTTGCAGTAACCGTGACACCGATTTATCCTAGAAAGGAAACAATAGATCACGCGGATCTGTTTTCGTTGTCGACGAACGTTACAACGATTCGGTAGAGAAGATGATTCCGACCCCAATGTCACTAAAAATCGGAATTTGTTGGGGCGTTCCCACGACACTGCAATGGGGAACACATAAACGAGGGTTGTGTGAGTTGAGAGAAGGTTCAAACATCTTCTGTCCCTCCGACGGTGAATACTCCTGGCAACAACTGTTCATCATCTTGTCCGGTTGGATATGATATGATTATATCAAAGACGTGTTCAAGCCCATAAGTCCAAGAATCGTGACAAAAGTACCTAAAAGCTCACACATTTTGCCCATCATAGTAGGTATGCATTAAATTTAGCTCAAGTGATGATAATTCACTTTCTTAGAGGTGCAAAGTATGAATCACTTTGGTACATACACGCGCTCACACACAGAAACGAAGTAGGCATACCAATTTATACTAGTTTAAGGGGTAAATTATAATTAATAAAAATTGGGAGGAATAAAATCAAATTAAATTAGGGATTTTTCTTTTGCCTTAATTCTCAATTTGGCCTTTCAAGTATACATGTTTTCTGATTTAACACCCTAAATTTTTTTTATTCCATTTTGATCCTCTACGTTTACTTTTTTTTCACTTTGCACCCTAAAGTATGGCTTAGTTATATAAATTTGGATCCTTGGGTATTAAAATGTTGGACCAATGAAAATACACCATGAGGAGTCCTCCTTTTATGGTCGTTGGGCCTTGTAGGAAACTTTCATGTGATGGAAGGATTTTGAGGCAAATTTTGACAAATTTGAATGGTTAAAAGGTGTCTGAAGATGTAACTATACAACACTAAGATTTTAATTTGATACGATAACTAGATCTGAAAATCAGATTGTAGGCTATCTCAAACTTAAATCTTAATTTCATAATTGTTGAGCAAGTTTTTTAAAAGTATAATGACAAATTTGGGTTGAGAAAGTTGGAAAAAAGAATAATGTACAAATCGGGTCAAGAAGAAGCCGAATATGGCCAAATACAGTAGCTAGAGCTATCCCACAGTGGTATAATTATCCTTGTTATATATCACATGTCACATATCATGTTATTATCTATTAATCGATTTTTAATAAAGATAATATATTTTCGATTTTTAATAAAGATAATATATTTATCATAAGATGATAACATAACAAAATGTTAGAGACCTACTTTGACTAAAAAAATTAAATACTTAGAAAAAACCAGTTTAGACACTTATTTTTCAGTTAAGTTAGGATATTTTACAGGTAGATATTAATTTGAAAATTTACCCTTTTGCTATAGTAAATTATGTTTCTCATATAATATAGGTTGCAGCACTAGCATTGGGACAATATTTGTGCTACTCAGTACAAGGTATTTGCACAAACTTTTAGCAAAAAGAAACATAACCAAGCTAAAGCAGAAATACTTTAAAAGGAATGGAGGCCTATTGCTGCAACAACAATTGTCCAACAATGAAGAAGGTAATGTTGATAAAATAAAGTTGTTTGCTTCAAAGGAATTGGAAAAGGCAACAGATTATTATAATGAGAAATTGAATTTTTGGTCGCGGTAGTTAAGGAATTGATTTATAAAGGAATGTTAGCAGATGGAAGCATTGTGGCAATTAAAAGGTCTAAATTGGTGGGAGATAAGGCATTTGACAAAACGAAGCTTCAATTCATAGTTTCGAGTTCGAGTTAAGTTTGAAAATTTTAAGCTCGCGAGTTTTCGAGCTGAGTCGAACTTCATTTTATAATTTTCGAGTCGACTCGACTCATTTACAGCCCTATTCTAGGCAACCACCCATCCGTCACTGGACCCCTACTGCTAGATATTCCTTTCTCGTAGCCTCAATTCCTAAACTTAATTATAGTTTTAGGTATTTAAGCTCGCGAGTTTTCGAGCTGAGTCGAACTTCATTTTATAATTTTCGAGTCGACTCGGCTCATTTACAGTCCTATTCTAGGCAACCACCCACCCGTCACTGGACCCCTACTGCTAGATATTCCTTTCTCGTAGCCTCAATTCCTAAACTTAATTATAGTTTTAGGTATTTATGAATTAGGGTTTTATGAATTTTGTGGTGTTTCGTGAAAAATAGGAAAAGTAAGGTTTTTTTTTAAAAAAATGAATTTTATTTTTTAAAAAATAAAGAAAATTTAAAAAATAAGTCATATGTCAAACATTGATTGGTTGGTTGGTTTTTAGTAGTAATTATTTATATGTAGGGGCAAATAATGCCAAAAATAGGTTAGGGAGATCCAATTAAAATTTATAAAAAATTTGCAGGGTTTGATGATTTTTTAAAAAAAAAGTTAAGAATCTATATAAAATTTTGAGGTATGATTAAAAAATTTCAAAATTTTTGGAGCATAATGAGAATCTAAAAAAATTGAGGGGTGCAATTAAAATTTTAAAGATTTTTGAAGGACTTGATGTAATTAAAAGTTTGACCCTCATTACGATCCGCCTCTATTAAGACGATCTATCTCCCATAATTGTTCTTATGAGAAAGCACACAGCAGTTGATTAAGAATTTTGACATCATTTTCATTTGTTGAAACAATAACAACCAAATAGACAAGCATATGGCATATATGTACAGTTCATGTTGGAGCTAAACAAACTACAAGAAGTGCTTAAACATTACTAAACATAACACAAAGGCCATTAGCCATTATTGACAAACCTGATACACAGACTTGTGAAGTTGACACCTCTCTGTTTCATAAACTTTAGCAGATTATCAGTTATCAAATTCAAAGATTCACTCAACGCTTCTTTAGACATCTCATCATTAACATCCAAGACAGCTGTCCCATCCCAAATTGCAGGATCGGTTGCACAATGTACATGAGCAATATAATCACAATCAGAAGTAGAACAACGGTACCTGCCATGTCTTATACCAACTTCCTTGTAACAAATTCTGCACGTCCGATCTTCAACTTGATTTTGTCGAAGATAATATGAACGGGAAATTGAGTGACGATGTCGTGTTATCATGATGTTGCGTGGCAATGAAATGCATTTCTTGTGGACAACAAGGTCACATGTAGCACATAGATAAGGGGAGCCATCTCCGGGGATGCCACAAAAATCACAAATAAATGACATTTGTCTTGATATGAACATCCACGGGTGTTCATGACTTGGATGAGTGATGGTTTGTGGTGAAAAATAATAATCAAGAGTAAGCTCTAAGTTGCAAAGCGAACAAGAATAAACAAATCCTCCCACGTTGTGTTGAGTTTTGCATAAATGAGAATCACATTTATCAGGATGAGATGGTTGCTTTAACAAGAGAGTAAGAGGATGGTTACGGTCATAAGGGTGAATAATCTCAAGGGGGAATTCACCTCATTCCTTACGAAGGTTAAAGTTTGTTTTATAGGAACAATTGGTACAGTGGTAAATTGGATCAGATAATGATTTCTTACATCCGAAGAAATCATATTTGACTTGGTTCTTATGGTTTTGAATGAAGAACAGTGGGTGAGGGTGCAAAGAATTAGGAAAATGTGCACACATGGGTGATTGAAGCAAAGCACAGTTGGTGTCCAGATAGAACTCACATGTAACACAATGATAAGCAAAACCCCAAGATAACCCACCACACAAATTACATTTGTATTCACTACCGTTATAAGGTGATTTTGGCAAAAAAATGAGTGTATGTTGGGGGTGGAAAGGATGGTTAAGCTGAGGGCGTGTCTCGCATCCCTTATGATGATAAAACTTACATTCTTTGCAGCCGTAGCTCCATCCCTCTACAGATTATTATAAATTATGTATTTAATCATTTAATTATCATTTTATTTTTATTTTTATCATCTAATTATTTTTTAAAATATCATCACTAACATTATATTGTGGTTTATTTGGTCACAAGTTGTTAAAAAATTAACATAACTCTAGATATGATATATATATTTTTAATAATGATGTGATATTATCTTATAATGATACGTAACATTAATGACAATTTTTTTAACAATAGGTGATCAAAATAAAATTAAAACATAATATTAATAATATTTTTTTAAAATATAATTAGGTAATCAAAACAAAACTAAAAAAAATAGTTGGTTCATCAAATGTGAAAAAAAGTTAAATAATAATATTAATTCTTCAATCTCTCTATGCACAACATCGAATCATATAATCAAGTTAACTAAATTATCAATTAGATGCAATACATAGGTTTTAATTTTCTTGAAAATAAAGAGAAATATATACATATATTTTAACATATAATTCTAACCCCAAGGTGTAAAATACACAGTTTCAAACCCCTAAGTGATTAGGATAGTTTAAGTCATCTCAATGGAACTAACATCATGTTGATGATCAGGGTCGGCCCTATACATGTGTCAAATGGGCGACGGTCCAGGGCAGCATGTAGGGGCATCATTTTCTAGAAGACAAAGATGGGTAGCATGTACGTGCTACTGCAAGCTGATTTGGAAAAAAAATGCTACTGACTTTGGTTTTGTTGGTAATTATTTAGTTCACCATTTAACTCGACATCAGCTGAGTCAACCCCTTGTTCAGTTCCCCCACTTATTCTTTTCTCACCACTTAATTGCATTGGAGAATCAGGGAATGAAGTGTTGAGTGAATGGGTTGAGGGGGCATCAGATTTTCTTTACTGGTTTTGTTTGCTTTGTGTTAAATTAATCAATGGAATCGGAATGACGAAATGAAAGGAGTTATAATTCAGTGTTGGGTTATTTGAGAATTATTATTAATCATTCTAAATGTACAGAATGGGCTGTTGAAAAACGAGCAGTGAGACTTGTTATATAGGGAACTGAGAGCTTTATCTGAAATGAAGTTGTAACCAGGGCCGGTTTTGCGCCTGTGCGGGCTGCCCAAACGCTCAGGGTCCAATTTTTGTAAGAGCCTCCAAATTTTTTTAAGTCTTTTGTATATATGAGTATTTAAGATGTTTGGCCAAAAAAATTTCAAGTCCAAGACCTATTTTACTGTTATGGCATAGGGCCACCAAATTTTGAAATATTAGTAACTTTTTTATATATCTAATATTTTAGTTTTAAAAGGCCTATTTTACTGTTATGGCATAGGGCCACCAAAATTTACAAGACGGCCTTGGTTGTAACATATAGTTTCTATGAAAATTATCTTTATCCAAAAGGAAATGTTACATATTGCTTCTACGGAAATGATCTTTATCTAAAGTGAAAATTCTTTGGTTTTCTGAATTCTGAAATCTGTAGAGAATGGTGAGACAATGAATAGATTTATTAGGATTAGGAGCCGCATTTTGTAATGCGGAAGGAGTTGTTGATATGAGATTTAGGGCCAGAAACTGCACAAGTTTGCACCCATGAATGGGTTGAATACTAATTCGTTGCTTCACCATCCAGACTGAAAAATGCCGGGTTCGGATTCATTGATTTTTTTGAGGTGTTGTGGTGTCATTTTTCCTGAACTTTTCTGATTCTGATCTTACATGTTTGCTTTTAATTTTATGTTTGTAATAGTTTTTCGGATATAAGCAATTAGCATGTCACACGGATCTCTCATGTTATGTATGTCTTCTCTTCCTTTTACACTGTACAAATCCAGCAGCAGGTCCAGAGAGATGCTGCCATTGCACGATTAGAACAAAGTCGGATAATTATTGCATTGAGATTGGCTGAGCATCATGGAAAGAAGTACAAAGCAATTGATGAAGCTCTAGCTTTTGTGGGAGGTGTACACGATGCTAGCCGTTATGTCTCACCCGAAAACCTTTACCGTACACCAAACGGTCCATTTGGACAGAATCTAGTATCACACAAAGGGAAGTACTCTGATAAGCTAATCAAAGTTCTGGTTTCTAGCTTCAACTATGCAAAGAAATCACTGAATTTTGACCATATGGGTGGGATACTAAGCAATATAGCTATATTCGCAATCAGCATGGTAGCAATGATGCATCTCCAACAGCTTGCTCTTTCAGAACATTCAGGGAGACAAGAAGATAACATCAACAACCAGAGAAACCCGAGAAAGAATTCTCAACTTGAAGGGTATAAAATTATTATCTCTCCCAGGGCATTAAAACTCATTGGACCGACCCTGTTGATGATGATCATGGATCAGAATATCGGGTCGAATATCTATAATTTCTGTAATATACGAATCCGGATTCAAATACTTTATCATCTTGTTCTTAGCATACATCCCATACACATAAGAACAAAAGCCCCAACCACACATCACAGTGGAAACAGCCTTAACCCCACCAAATTCGTCCCCATAAGCCACCACCCCACCCACCACGTTCATCATCAGCAACGCCGTCATGCAGATCCCTCCGGTCAATGAACACGTCAAGAACACCACCCCCGCCGTCCCCATGAAACAAAGCTGCCAACTCACGACGTTTGAAGCCACCGTCAACCAATAAACCCTCTCCCCTTTATCAAACACCCCACTCCCTTCCCTCTTCATCTCCACAAACCCACCGTCGAACACCATCCCGATAATCACCAGCTGCATTTCCATCACCATTGCATAACAATACGCCTTCTTGTACACCATCTCCATAATAGGAAGATACAAAGCGAAAAGCAACCCTGCACCAATGGTTGAAAAATACCCGATGAAGTACTTGGCTCGAATTAAACCATGGGGTTTATTATTGCTGGATTCCAAGGCTAATAACACAGAAGATAACGTTAACAAAATGACACAACTTAGGTTCATGAAAGTGATCTTCTGCTTCACGATGATCACAGATAGAATAACATTGAACACTAACTGAGATGATAAAAGAAGAGACGAATTCGACACAGGAAGATACGAATTTTTCCATGAGAACAGCAGGTTGTTTAAGCCTAACATGAACCCTAGGAAGATCGACAAAACCAGAAGTTTGGGGGTGAAACGAGCGAAGGGTTTACGTTCAGTGGATTTAAAAAGATAATAAGGAAGAAGAATGGGGATTATAATTAGAGGAAACCCAGCAGATTGAACCCAAGTTGAAACCCATATGCTTGATCCCTTGGGGATGAAGTAATACTTGGAGAGCAAGCTTGAAGACAAAGAACCAACGAAGAGGAAGGCGTAGTTGAGCAACAAAAGAGGGAGGTAGCGCTTGTTTGACATGGGAACAGCCATTTGGTGAGCTTCATTGGAGTTGTTCATGATTGGTTTTGGTGATGAAGACGATGGGAACACCCATTTTTCTTCTATATGGCTGTGATCTCTTCGCACCAGTCCATTGTGTTGGGAAGTATGAGAACAAGAAAATCTTAGTTTGATGCCAAAAGACCTGAGATAAAGGAGTGAAGCCACCCCCTCCATTGGATTTTAAATTCTTTTATTCCATAGTACTCGACTCCACTTGCTTTAAAAGATAATTCCAAACATGCCTATTTTAGGCATCAATGGAAATAAATATAATCCAACCAACTAATCGAGGTAAAATTGTCTGGATGGGGTTAAAAAAAATTAGCTGATATTATGGATAGAACCAAGATTTTAGTTCAATGAGATAAAATATAATTAATAATAAAAAATTAGAAGAAAAAAATTAAAATAAATCAAAACTTAAATATCTAAATAGGTATTTATCCCTATATATTTTTTAATAATAAAAAAAATTGAAAGAGGGCACTGCCCCCTAGAAGTATACTTAGTTTTGTCACTGTCTGGTATGGAGTATTGGGAGAATTATTTTCTCTGCTAGGGTGATAACGGTAAATGATAAAAGATGCATGAGACACGACACGTTTACAATTTTATCTAGGAAGACGCATGGATTGTAATGTATCTTTAGCTTCACGGGAAATATACAAATATTGAAGATGTATGGTGTTCCCGATGTCTCTTCAAGACACATGATTGTCCTGGCTTCTTCCTCATTGTAACAAATGTCTTATTTCAACAAATAATCTTCTAGAGACCTTATGTGAGAAAAAAAATTTCCCACAACATTATTCAAGCAATTTTACCGATGGAGAGTTATTAATCATAATGGTTAGAGACTTGAATACGATGAGTAATTTAAGAGACACAAGTCATTAGTTATTAGAGAAATCCATTTTAACTAATAATATTTTAATTTTGTCAATCATACCACTTAGTTATTTAAATGTTATGGATCAAATTACTTTTTGTTAGCATTTGATGGAGAGGAACTTACGTAACAATTAAAAATAATAATATATTTACACATTGGAATTAATTGAAATTATTTTTTATTTAAATCGTTAAAATGGGTGAACATAAACCTTTGTATTTCAAAATTTTGATTAATTAAGTTTTACTTGTCCTCTGTACTTTGGAAAATATATACCTTCATTTGTGTTTTTCATTACTTTTAATATTAAAAGTTACTAACATTTACTCTTTTAGTACAGCGGGAATCACGGACTCCATGTGTAACATCCCAAACTACGGGTTAGTGACTAAATTGTAAAACTTCAGAATTTGGTGATTAAAATAAAATAGTTGAATAGTTCTAGAATTTATTTGAAGATATTTTATGAAGGGTTGTTGGTAATTATTAAAGGAATTAAAGGGCAAAATGGTCATTTGACTTAGAAATGGATAAAATAAGAATATATATGGGGATAAGGTTGAGAGATTTCACCAGAAATCTCTTCCTTCTTCTTTTCTTCTTAATAAGAGAGAGAGAGCCAAGCAAAGGTAAGTTTTCTGATTAGTTGATTATTTGTTGATTTTAAGAGTGGGTTTTGATCCTTAGGTGATACTTAAGCTTAAGAAAAGCTTAAGTTGTCTTAAAATCAAAAGATGAAGAAGTTTTGAAAGATTAAAGAGAATGAGTTTTTAAGTGAATTTATGGAAAAGAGTTGATAAGTTGAATTTGAAACTAAATTTGACTTGTCATCAACTTAATTAAGAGATATGAAGTGATAGAATTGAATTTAGAGCATCTTGAAAATTTGGTATGATTATTGATTTCCATATGAAAGATGAAATTTTGAGGTTAAGGATGTATTGAATGAGTAGAAATTAGTTTAAGTATATGTACTTGAGTTAAGAATAGAAAAGGGAATGAAACATGAAGAATTTAAGTTGAAAAGGATGAATTTTCGGGCTTAAAATATGATTTCTAGGCAAGGTGCATCAGTACACATTCAATATGTACCGATACACTCTTAAATGAAGAAACATCGAATGCAATAAGTGTATCGATACACAGGTAGTGTACCAATACACCAGTGAAGGGATGTATCGATACACTATAGTGTGTATCGATACACTTCAAAGGGAAAATGGAAATTGATATTTTCCATTAGTTTAGAAAAGGGAAGATTAGAGTATATCAATTAGAATATTGATGGATCTATGTATTGTTATGTAGATATAGAACGTAATTTCGTTCCGGACTAATCGAAGAATTAGGATTGAACCAACGCAAGAAGTTCCGGAATAATCGAAGAATTAGGATTGAACCAATGCAAGAAGGCCAAGGTGAGTGCATAATATAGGGATAATCTAATGGAAATAAGACTTGCGATAAGTCTATTTCCTAGGTCAATTTCATAGTATAATAGTTATGAACATGCATAAATTATAGTCTTTATTAAATATGCATAAGTCATATAGGTTTACATATGATTTGATACATGTTATATGATATAAGATGGATGGTTATACGCAAATGTGAATGTGATTGAAGAAAGACAAATGTGATCACAAAGGAAATGACATGAATACATGTTTATATGAAAAATAATATTAATGCCCATGTTATGTAATATGAGAGCTCTAGGTATAATTGGCATGCCAAGAGTCGAGGGTTTCATAGGTCCTTCAGGACATATTCACAGGTCCTTTGGGACAAATTTCATATGCCACTCAGTGGGAATTATACGAGCTATGGTGACAGTAGATGTGCACAACCTCTAAGTACTCGAATACCTTAAGTTCTCAGTATATACATGGGCCTATAAATAAGGTGAAAAGTGTGTGTTTCATTATATGTTATAGTATCAATATTGTTTATAATGAATCATATGGAATTATATGGAATTCTAAATAGCATGTTATATGTTCATACTCATAAGAAATGCATTATCATTATAAGTTTATGCCTCACTAAGTCTATGACTTAGCGTGTAAGTGATTTACACGTAGGTACATAAAAGCAAGAAGACCGGTCTTAGGAGCGGCAGAGCGGCATATCATTATTTGAAGATCATATCAGAATCACCTTATACAGTATGTCCGCTTATGTAATATATGTGTTGGCATGTAAATAGAGTCATAATATGTATGCTCTGATCGAGTTTTGTAATGTTTTAAACGTATTTATGTAAATGGTAACTTTATCATGATGAAAGCTTAAATTTTTGAGTTTTTATATAAGTTGAGCTTAAGTTACTGTAGCAGTATTGTAGCAGTGCATCGGTACACTGTAGTGCATCGATACACAATTTATATTTGATGTTTTTGTACATCGGTACACTGTAGCAGCGCATCAGTACACTGTAGTACTGTTCACGGTACTGTAGCAGTATAATACTATCCATAAAAACGTTTTTGCCTTAAATTTGTTATAATGAAACGTAATTCAACGTTATATTATCGTATTTTCTTAATATAAGTCCAAATGTTTTGTTATTTTGTAAGAATATTGTTTTAAAAAGTCAATTTGACATCCCAAACTCGTATCCGGGTCAGGTACGGGTTAGAGGCGTTACACCATGAAAGTAGAATTGATGGCTATTTCAATTGCATTTAGATATGTTAATTGGATTTTGGTATAATAAAAATATAATTTGATTTCAATTTTAATATAATTTAATTTGATGTAGAATTGATATTAAAAATCAATTATATATTTCATCTTGACTTAATTTCAAAATTTAAAAACAAAATATGACTCGCCCATAAAAGAAGTTGAAATATATTATATAAATAATTATAAATTAAAAGTTTATGTTTTAATGAATGTATCAAGATGGGACTAGTTTCACCCAATCTAAACTTAAAACATTATAACAGAAAATTTAATTTAAAACTCATTTAAATATATATAATGTATTAATTAGGATCGAATTAAAACCGATCAATTTTGAGTTTTTTATTATTGTCCCTAATTGTTTCATTGTTGTGGTTCAAGGAATCACCATGTGTTTGCAGCCTTTTTCTCTCATGGAATCAGTTATTTGCCACGAAACCTTACCAACTTTTCTTAGAAGTATTTTATGCAGGGATAGATCAAAGAAGTGCCGAGACTATCATATTTTAAAAATAATTAAATTTTTATTTAACTTAAATATTTTTTATAGATAATTTAATTTTATATCATCTAAAATTTTATAATTTTACACTCTTAAATTTTTAATATAATTTCATAAAAAAAAATTAATCCTAAATTTTATAATTCACATGTACGTACATATAATAAATAAACATATGTGTTACAATTTTGATTGAATATTTATAATTAATTGTTGATCTAGGATCGATATTGCAATACATGAATAAAGAAAAATGACCTCGAAGGCACCGAGTCATTCCAAAGTTCTACTAAATGGCCCAAATATGATTAGGGCTCACTTCCAACCTAACATACATGTATGGGTGTTCAAATAACCGAATTAATTCGGTTAATCGACTGAATCGAATTAGTTCGGTTAATTCGGTTCGGTTATCGAATTAGTTCGGTCGGTTAATGGTTAAAAAAAATTTAGAATTCGGTTAACGATTAATTCGATTCGAATTCGGTTAATTAACCGAAATTAAATTTTAAATTTTAAATATATTATATATAACATATAGGCTTAGCCCAAACTATTTGAAACCCAATTAATAATTTAAGATCTAATAACTTTTAAACCTAAATCAATATTAATTAATTAAAAAAATTATATAAATTTTTTATTTTATAATTATATATTATTTAAATTAATTGTAAACTGTTTTTTTAATTAAAAAAAATTAAATATATTATATATAACATATGGGCTAAGCCCAAACCATTTAAAACCCAATTAATAATTTAAGATCCAATAACTTTTAAACCTAAATCAATATTAATTAATTAAAAAATCTATCTGAAATTTTTTTATTTTATAATTATATATTATTTAAATTAATTATAAACTTTTTTTAATTAAAAAACATTTAATTTTTATATAAATTAGAAAATTTTAAAAAAATTTCGGTTAATTCAAAAATTAACCGAATTAACCGAAATTTATTCGGTTCGGTTAATATGTTTGGAAAAAAATTCGGTTCGATTAACGGTTAAAGAAAAAAAAAGTTTGGTTAATTCGGTTATGATTAATTCGGTTCGGTTCGATTCGGTTTTAACCGAATGAACAGCC